CAAAATCGAACCTGGGACCCTTCAGTCTGCAGGCTGAAGCTCTATCCACTGAGCCAAACCGGCTACAGCAAGGTGTTTATTTCCTCACATAAAAGACTACAGAGATAGGTATGTGTCTGTGGGCCTTGGCTCAGCAGTTCAAAGATGAGAGGACGGAGGTGCCCTCTGTTCTCATGATCACAAAATGGCTGCTACAGCGCTGCCATCACAACCGAGGAAGGAAGGAGAAAGGGCCAGCCTCATGGACATCCCCATGGAGCACACAGTGAGCAACGAGCAGAGCTGAGACTCAACCCGGCGACCTGGCTCCGGGGCAAGGCCGTAACCGCCGCCCAGCACAGCCTCCTGGCTGGGGCTGTGGACACAGGACCTGTGACTGAGGAGGCCCCGTGCGCCGCCTGCCAACTCCCAGCAGCTGTTCCGGGGGTAGGAGGGCAGCTTTCACTGCTGTGGACGAACGAGGCATGAGGCGTGTAGACAGGAGCTCTGTGGTGCCTTCCGGCCCATCTCAGCAGCCTGGTGGTTGGACTGGGCGCTTCTCGAGGGCAGAGACCTTGCCCTAGTCGTCCTTTCTCCAAGGCCAGCTCTGGGGCCCGGCACACAGCGGGTGCCCAGCCAGTGCGTGAACAACGGGGTGGATAGAGGCAGGATGGCATGAACAGGCTGTGAAGAACAACAAGGCCTCGGACTTGCCTACCTCCTCTGGGTGCCACAAAGAAGCCTGTGTCCCAGCTAAGTAGCATCTGGGCACCTCCAGCCCCTATCAACCGGGCAGAGCCAACAGGCCAGGGCAGCCGGACCTCCAAACCCTGGGGCCCAGTCAAGGTGTGGGAAGAGGTGCTAAGGCCCAGCCACAAATGCTCCCACCGAAGTCACATGAGCAAGCGGGGCATGTTCTCACACCTGAAAGCCAGAGGCAGAGGGACCCACTGCAGGCAGCTGGCCCATTCAAGGCCCTTCTTCCCTCCCACTGTCCCCAGCCAGGGCCTCAGACTCCCTGGGCCTCCCTGCCTCCAGCCTGTGTGCCGTCCACACTGCAAGATGCCTCTCCGACAGCACCTTTATCATCACTGCAGTCCTGGTTCCAAAGCCGCCAACGGCACCAAGGATAAAGGGGTGATGGCTCCCACTCTCTGAGAGCCCCTCTTTGCTCCCATGCTGAGCACTGGGTCACGCACATGTACATATGACTATTGGCAATGCATAGCAAGTCTGCGAGATAGGTTCCAACATCCACCCCATTTTATAGCAAAGGAAACTGAGGCCCAGGGAGAGTAAGGAAAGCCCTCTAAGCCAGTGCCCTTCCCCTCTCTCCCTTCCTTGGCTCTCTACAGCCGGAGAGGAGACCCTCAGACACTGTATCTTCATATCCATGTGCCCTGTGCAAGCCCAATTCTGAACAGGTGTCAGGCAATGTGTTAAACTGGGCTGAATAAAGACTTAATTTTAGACTCGTTTACCCCTCCCACCTATACCTGTGCCTACCCCTCCCCTCCTCTGTGCAGAGGCAGACTTTGGGCAATCAGGGGAGACAGACTCACTGGGAGACCACTTACGTGAGCTGTAGTTACAATGAAGGGGACATTTGCTGCTCCAAATGTCCAATAAGTCGCAAGTTGCATTTAGTCTGGAGCCTTCTGGACACTCCAGACTCTCAGATCATCGTGCATCTATTTTAATTATGCAAATATTGATTGCAAACCCACAATGTGCCAGACTGGACCTGGAGCGTGGGGGGGCACAGAGCAAAGGCAAGTCGTGCCCTGAAACCTCAGCCCAGCACTGGCAGCTTCTGGTCCCTGGGAACAGCAGCTCAAGGTGAATTAGTTCAGGCGGCAGCTACCGAGAGCTTGCAGCGTGCCAGCCTTGTCTGAGCACCGAGGAGACGCCAAGGCAGAGCCATCAGGTCTCTATCTTTGAGACGCTGCTGTTCGCCGAGCAAGCCGGCATGGCCACCATACCCAGGCCACACCGAAGATGTTAGCCAGTCACAGGGTTCTTCTCTGTGGAATTTCAAGGAGAGAAAGCCTCACATCCTTGCTCTGCAGCTGGTGGGGAGGTCCTCTTGTTCCCCACAGCTCTTGTGTGTGGGTGCAAAGAGCCACCGGCCCACTGCGCTGTCCATCTACCCCACCTCGCCACCTCAGCAGCCTGGCCAGTGGGCGAATATAGGCCAGAGCTGAAAGAGCTGCAGGACTCAGGCTCGGTCTGAGGAGGGCTCAGCAAAGCCCAAAGTCACGAGGGGAAACCAAAAGCGAATTTGAAGTCTCTGGCACTTGTAGCAAACTTCACACACAGCCTACTTGCTAGGCAGGTTAACATGCATCCTCACACTAAATGCCTATTTCCCGCAGATCCTGATGCCACACGTCCCCATTTCAACTAAAATGGCAAGGAATGCTAAGAGGTAAAAAAACAAACAAAAAACAAAACCCACAAACAAACAAAAAAAACCTCTAAAGAGACAAAGCAGTAATCAGAACTAGACTCATGTGACTTCGGTGCTGGAGTTATCAGACGGAATTTAAAGTAACTATGATTAATATGTTAAGGGCTCTCATTGAAAAAGCAGGCAACATGCAAGAACAGATGGGTAATGTACGCAGAGAGAGGGAAACTTGAAGAAAAGATGCAGGGAAACGCTAGAAACAAAAAACACTGTAACAGAAATGGAAAGTGCCTTTGACGGGCTGATCAATAGACCGGACACAGCTGAGAGGAGAACCAGTGAGCCTGAGGATATGTCAATGGAAATGTCCCAAACTGAAGTGCGAAGATAAGAGACTGAAAGAAACAAGAGGTAGCCCATAACTGTGGGACAGTGTCCAGGTGTGACACACATGTGACTGGATTACCAGAAGGAGAAGAAAAGAGACAGAGCAGGAGTACATTGAAGTACTAATGGCCAAGAACTTTCAAAAAGTAATGAGCCCTGGCCAGTTTGGCTCAGTGGATAGAGCGTCGGCCTGTGGACTGAAGGGTCCCAGGTTCGACTCTGGGCAAGGGAACATGCCTGGTTGCGGGCTTGATCCCCGGCGGGGGGAGTGCAGGAGAAAGCCAATCAATGATTCTCTCTCATCATTGATGTTTCTCTCTCTCTTCCTTCCTCTATGAAATCAATAAAAATATTTTTAAATGCCCGTAATAATGACAGGCAGCAAACCACACATCCAGGAATCTCAGAGAATACCAAGCAGGATAAGGAATAATAAATTTTGCCCAACTGACATGGCTCAGTGGTTGAGTGCAACCTATGGACCGAGAGGTCGTGGTTCAATTCCCAGTCAGGGCACATGCCCGGGTTGCGGGCTCGGTCCCCTGTGGGGGTGTGCAGAAGGCAGCCAATCAATGCTTCTCTCTCACCATTGATGCTTCTCTCTCTCTCTCCCGTCCTCTCTGAAATCAATAAAAATATATATATTTTAAAAAGAATAATAAATGTTAAAAGCCCAGGAAAAGAAAAAAACAATAAAAAACACCCAAAAAGTACCATATCCAGACATAAGATATTCAAACTGCAGAAAATAAAAGGAAACAGATACAGGTGGCATTTACCCTTCCTTTTTATTTTTTGGGGGGGGCTTGGGGGAAGAGGAGGAGGGGAGGTAAGAAGAGAGGAAGTGGGGAGATGGGGAAGCACAGGCACGCTCCTGGGGAGGAGAGCATTTAAATCGCAATGGATTTAAAAGTTCATGTCGACAGGGTCTACTTGCTAGAGAGTCAGCCAATCAATAGCAGCAGTGAGGTTGATGACAGATTCAAAACAAGGGATTTGGCAATGACGGTTTCATAGGGGCCTCAGCAGCCAGGTTATTCCTAAATCGGCTGCACAGTATGCGTACGATCCCAGTTCAGACAAAGCAGCAGTTGTAAATGACCACAGTATTTGAACTGCTTACCTGGTTAACACTCGAAAATAAAAAATAATTCCAAAGACTCAGAGAGAATCAGTACATAGTTGAATTGCTAAATAACCACCCCCTCCCTGAGCAAGCCCCTGTTCTGGAAGGCAAGCTCCCCTCCTGGAGAAGCGGCTGTGCCCCATCCCCCCGGCCCTGAGCACAGTGCCTTGACTATGGCCGGTGCTCCAGCAACGTGAGTTGTGGGTTTAACTGCACAGTGGCATCTAACGAAGCACGGAATGCAGTAATGAACAGAGTAATGAACTTCTGGGTGAGGTCTGGCTGGAGCAGATGCCTGCATGCAGCCTGAATTCAAACACCAGTCCAGAGTGAGGACAGCCCTCATCGGGAATGTGAACAGTGACAACATACGTGCACAGAAAGGAGTGAAGCTAGTAACACAAGCTGACATGTTGCAGGTCTTCAGTGGGTTAGAGTTCGGTACAGGTTACAGACCAACGGCTCCCATGAATATACATGCAAAAATTCTAAACAAAAATATTAGTAAGCTAATCCAATGCTATATGAAAAGGGCAGGTAATACTTTACGACCAAATGAGGTTTATTCTAGGAATGCCAGGCTGATTAAACATTTGGGAAACCAAAATGTAACCACTATCATTAAAATAAAAAAGGAGCTACATCGTGTGATGGATGATCTCTGTAGATGCAGAAAATGCACTCGAAAACTGCAACAACCATTTATGATAAAACTGTGGCAAACTAGCCGAAACCGGTTTGGCTCAGTGGCTAGAGCATCGGCCTGCGGACTGAAGGGTCCCAGGTTCGATTCCGGTCAAGGGCATGTACCTGGGTTGCGGGCATATCCCCGGTGGGAGATGTGCAGGAGGC